ATTTTCTTCCATATTGTTCACTCCAGTATGTTGTTATTTTACTGTGTAGATTTGGGACCTGGCCCCCTCCAGTATTTTCAACATGAATATTATTTGATATCTCTCTCGTCTCCTTTCTAGTGAGTACATTTGGAGAGCTTTGAGATGATCCGAATAATTTAGGTGCTTTATCGCAGCAGTGTATGCCACATGTGTTCTCTGAATTCCCTCCATTTCCAGCAGTCTCTCCTGCTTTGAAAGGGGAAGTGAGTACTGAGCAATGCTCAAGATGGGACACTCCACCACTGCGCCGCTTGTCCGCTTAGCCCTCCCCCTCCCCAGGAGGAGGGGAGGGGACCCATGGACCACCTCCCCCCCCCACCCACACCAACTACTCAACAACTCCAGTTCAGAGCCTAAGCATCAAAACCCACGCGAAAAAATGCCAAACGGAGGGAGGGAGAGTGCCAGGGAGCCTCCAGGGCCTCACCCAGTAAATGGTATTTCATTACATTCAACGCTGGTTTTCTGAGGGGAAGCCCCTTCGACTTCCTGGAGCTACCTAACCAAAGCTAAGTAAAAGTGAACTTACCCAGAAGGCAACAACCACTCACTCCTCAACTCAAAGTTGAGACAACTGGCTGCAACCTGTGACTTAAAGCACACACGGACAGCCAGGACCAGGAACGGTGACAAGATAACAAGCGGCCAGGACCCTGTTCGACCTCCAAAATCCCCACACCCGAATGTCAGCCCAAGACATATTGCCAAAGACGGCAGCCATAGCAGCAAACTTACGAACGTCATGGGCATGAAGATAGACCGCAGGCTGGCTAGACTTAATAACCCTGTGGACGACCTGGGAGATCCGAACCCTGGAACAGGGAACAAAGGAAACTGGATCAACCCAAAGTGCGTCCCCGGCCACCTAGGTTGAGGCGTACATATAACGGCTAAGAGCCACAACCGGACACAACACATGATGCATCCCCGGCCTGACCAACCAAGCATCAATGACCCAAGGGCCCCTCCGGAAAGCCGCAGTCTTATTCTTCTGCAGAAAAAAAGACGGCTGCAACCAAACAAACCAACCACCAGGACCAAAGAACCCTTGTCCTGGAGGAGAGCATGAAGCTCACTCACCCGACCCCCAGAGGCCAATGACAACAGAAATAGAGCCTTGGAGAAACAATCTTGAAATGATGATTGAAAAATCTTGAACACCACAAACCGAGGAGAAGAGAGAAAAAAGAGCACCGTGTCCAAGGACCAGGAAGGCTCAGGCAGCACAAGAGCAGGCCGGAAGTGAAACAAAGCACGAGAAAGCTTACGGAACAGGGCAGAAGTGACATCCACCCCGAAGACAAGCTGAAAAAGCTCCACCAGTGCTGCACGATACGAGGCGACAGTATTAGACATCAAATGACAGTCCTGAAAAAGCCAAGAGAAAAAGGAGAAGACAACACTATCAGAAATAGAAGACAACCTACGAAGAGAAGGAAATGGCAAAAAGAAAGTCAGGAGACTTCACACTACCACCGAGACAAACCTCACAGGTGGGACACCATCAACAATGCCACCTGATCACCATAGAAGTGGTGATAGACCTGCATCAAAAAGACTAGACGTGAAGAGTGGAAGAGTGGAGGAGTAAACCAAACCAGACACGTACCGGACCGGTCCGATCTGCTGAGAGGCAGAGTCGCTGACAACATCTCAGGTTTGGATACCGAGCAAGCAACGCCTGAAACCAAGGCTGGGCTGGCTATCAAGGGGCCAACAGGACTACTCTTCCCCTGGTAAGTCTCCAAACAAGCCAGGACCCAAAGCAACAGCCAGAACGGGGGGAAAAGGTACAGGTATCCCCACCTCGACCAGTCCTGCTAAAAGGCATCCACCACAATGGCATCGCAGTTGGGATAGGGCGCCACATGTATCGGGAGATGCCAAGACCACGCCGACGTGAAGAGGTCCACCTCTGGGCACCCATACATCCGGCAGACCCAACTGAAGGAGTCGGCGTCGACCATTCATTCTGTGGGCAGGGGAATGAACCGAGACAGACCGTCCACCAGGATGTCGGACGCTCCCTGGATATGAACCGCACAGGGAGCCAAACCCCAAAAACCCAGCAGAAGAGTCACTCGAAGAGACCAGCCCAAAGAGCCAAGAATCAAAGAAAACCCCTGCGGTTCAGACAATGAACCACCGGAGAACAGTCTGAATGGAGCCGAATCGTGGAACCCCTAAGCGACCCAAACCCTCCAAAGCGACAGCCAAACCGCTGCAAATTCCCGCACCGTGCTGTGATCCCAACGGAAGGACGGACCCCAAAACCTCTGGCCAGCCTGGTGAGCACTGGTCGCCAGGCCCCAGCCAAGAGACGACGTGTCTGTGAACACATCAAGTGAGGGCACTGGGAGGCGCCCAGGGGTCCAGATGAAGTCAAGTCCAGAATGAACCGCAGATCCGCACAGTCCAGTTTCGGTACTGGTAACAGGCAGGAAACCCACCCGAGAGACAGGATCATTACGACCACACTCCAAGATGACCCGACAGAGTGCAAGGAAAAAACCCTGCCCTGCAAGCCCCCAAACCCCCGAAAGAAGGTGGTGCCGCCCAATGCCACCACAGACCGGAGGATATGACCCGAAACTCACCACGAATTGTGAGACCAAGCATGAGTAAACAGTGTGAGCCTTCCTCCCCTCCCACCCATTGCCCCCACAATGAGGCAAAAGGGCCAACGCCCCTTACAAGAAGCCAGGCCAATGAACAGAGTGATCAGTGCACCAACCATACGACACCAGCTCTGAAAGAAGCACCGGGTCAGAAGCTGGCACCAATGACCCACCCCAATGGGAGGAACCCCCAACCTTGGTATGATCGTTCCTAGAAGGCCAAGAAAGGCCACCCCGGAGAACTAACAAGTCTAACATAGGACAACAACTAGATGAAGCCACCTGCAGAACTGCGAGACAGCAGTCTCCGCAAACAGCAACGGACAAAATGGCAACGGAAATCTAAGAACCAAGGCCCAAGCTGATTCCAAAGAGAGAACGAGCACAGCCTGCCAGCATGCAAAGTGAGACGCAAAGAACAGACACTGCTTCCTTGAGAATTGGCGCAAACAGCTTCAACAATAACCTAAACCTAGCATGCAACGCAAATGCCGCCTGTGCCCGAATATCAATGTCATCAGACTGGGTAAATTGGTGAACAAGCAGGGAGCACAACTCGCAAGACTCCAGGTCAAAAGGTACATTGATCCAACAGATAGCAGAACGGAGATAAAAACGGTGACTGTCACCCTGAGACAAGGGCACACAACAACCCTCAAACTCGCATGAGGCGAGGAGGAACTCAGAAGATGCAGCCATTGTTCTAATGAACCCCAATGGGGATTTCCAGGGCCTGCAGATTGACTGCTATGGGAAGCCCAGTCAAGGCACTGCAAAACCGGCTACGTCCAAACCAACAAGGGAAACTGCTAAAGCTGAACCCTGTGACATGTACAATGACAGGGCCTAGAAGAGGGCCACCAAAATACCAGAAGTGGACCAATAACCAAACTAGGCAGACCCCCTCCAAGCAAGAAAATAAAAAGAAATAAAAAAAAACAGCAAAAAAGACGTCCCCAGAAGGAACAGAAACTGGCCGTCGCATTGGTAAGCGAGCTGTGCAGTACCCTGCGCCCGTACTAGCAAACAATTCCACTTCCTACTCGAGGCCAAAGGCCACGAAAACCACAACTGGCCCCAAGGGCTGGATAATTGCCGAGCAGCAAAGACCCCTTCGGAAGCGGTCCCCAAAAGTTCTAAGGAAGGAAGCCCTAGAACCCAAGGGTAGTGCTTACAGGGCACCTAGGGAAGAAAACCCCTAAGTGCATGCAGCCCCCTGTACTCTCAGATTTCTCCTGGCCACTGTGCCACACACACACACACACACAGCAGAACATACCATTAGGGTACACAACTGCCCAGATTCTGAGGCCAGAGTCCCCGGACTACATCAGCCAACTTAACTGAAGTTGACTAGCCAGCGCGGGGGGGTCCTGGGCTCCCCCCCTCACCCTACTGGGGACGGGGAGGGCTGCATGAACAAGCTGCGCAGCAGTGGAGTGTGACGTTTGCTTGTTTCTTTAATTAGGGGGAGTTCTGCCTCTGTTTGGTTATCAGTTGCAATTTTCTTATCTTGTGGCATCTATTTTATTATGCCTACCTTTCTGGGTGCTAACTCTGGTCAATGGTAGACATGGAATGCCCCCAAATACATGGGGGCCTGACAGCTCAGTGGACAGCTCTTTGGATTCGTAGTCCTGAGGTCCTGGGTTCAATCCCCGGTGAAGGCGGCAACAAATGGGCAGTTTCTTTCACACTGATGCCCGTTACACAGCAGTAAATAGGTACCTGGGAGTTAAACAGCTGCTACGGGCTGCTTTCTGGGGGTGTGTAACAAAAAGGAGGCCTGGTCGAGGACTGGGCCGTGTGGACATTAAGCCCCGAAATCATCTCAAGATAACCTCAAAATAGACCATTGCTCCCTTTGCCTCTATGAGGGGGGCCAGGTTGTGGCTCGTGGTTGCCGGTAGGCTAAACTCCAATTGACTGACTCCCCAGACTAATATAACATATATCAGCCTGATAGCTCCAGGAAGCCAAAGGGGCTCCCCTCAGAAATTAGACAGTCAACAAAACAGAACATAAAGGACAGAATGAAGGAAGAACTGTGTGCAAGAGTGACAGGCGGGTCAGAATGAATGAAGAACTGTGTGCAAGTGAGACAGGTGGGTCAGAATGAAGGAAATGCTGTATACAAGATGGAGAGGGAGAGGTCAGAATGAAGGAAGAACTGTGTGCAAGAGTGACAGGAGGGTCAGGTAGAGGGAAGAAAAAGGTAAGTAAATAGAGTGAGATAAAGGAAGTGAATATAGTGAGAAAAGGGAAGAGTATATGAAGACGGTATAAGAGTGAGGTTTATCAACACATTTAGCTTAGTGACCAAGGAATATACACTACTTATAGCCATTGCTTCTTTATTCTGAAATACATATCAATGTGCTTGTGATTCACAACAGATAAAGTCAAGAACTATAATGAACCAATGAAGCAAGTTTTAATTATGCAATGTTAAACAGGGCTTAGTAATTATATTTTAATTAATGTAAATTAGACAAAATTAGACATTAAACTGTTAACTAAGTCTTCTGAATAACTTGCAACAATTCAATCACTGCACAAGACTATAAAGATCATCATAAGTTATACAAAATTAATACAAAATGTTCATAATTCAGACTGAATTAAATAGTGCACATACTCTCTGAATTACAATGACTCTTGAAATTCTGACAAAATTACAGTATTGCTCACATCTTTCATGTGATCTCTCATACACTTCCTACCACAAAATTATCCCTGCGATTCTCTTTCTGATTTTCTTTGATAATATCGCAGAAGAGCATGTTCAAACTTTTCTCCAACAGTCCTTTTAGTGAAAAGTTTGCGTATTCTATCGAGCCTTTTTTCCTTTTCTTCAAGCTCACTCTCTTTCTTGATTTTTTTGGCATTTTCACTTGAAACTTTATCACTGCTGCTTTTATCTTTTTTTTCTTTGTCAGTTATATTCTCCTTTGCAGAGGATCTATCTTTTCTGTTAGGAGATTTTGGTTCCTCTTTGAGCTTTGACTTTTCTTGACTTTTTGATTGTTTTTGAGGTGAACGAGAGCGACTATCACTTCGCTGTTTCTCATCTGCTCGCTTAGAATGGGGACTGTTGGATTTGCTACGTCTGCGTTCTCTCTCCCTTGATCGAGACCTCTCCCTCCCTCTGTGATTTTTATCAAGCCGATCTTTGGATCTCTCTCTTCCGTATTTTCTGTCTCTTGATTTGTCTCCTCTTTCTCTTTCTCGAGATCGATCCCTATCTTTCTTTTTATCTGGAGAGCGATGTTTTTCTCTTCCTCTATCACGATCTCGGTCTCTGTCTTTTCCCTTTAATTCTTCCTTTCTCTCCCCAGCAGCTTTGTATTTGCTTCTCCTATCTCTGTAAGACTCGACCTTATCTTCGTTCTCAGATTCTGAGCTCGATTTGTCTTGTTTCGAAGCTTTTGATTTTCGTCTTGCTTGTCGTTCAGGTGATTCGCTTAAGTCTCGTTGAGTGCGGTAGTGTTTCTGTCTTTTAATGTCATCTCTTTTCTTTATAATTTCAACTTCATTACTGCCCTCTTCATCACTCTCTGGCTCCTTTTTTATATCAGTATCCCCCATTTTTTGTTTGAAGAGATGATTATAAAAAGCACCAAAATTTTTGTGCTTCATAACATCAATTTGTTCTGGAATAAAATAAAAGGTTTATTAGACAAGTAATACTAAAAATTCAAACTAAGTATTGTACAGACTAGTGTACCAACTAAGGTACCAACTAAAGTAACCATTTAAGATATTTGTTGTTTCTTGGTTCAAAGAGTTCCAATAAATCGGCCATTATTGATCTCTACTCTTTCCTCTAGATCAAGGGTTGGGGAACTTTCTTGGATATTACCCTAAATCTATTTGTGTTAAACTATTACTCCCAGACTTCAATGTAAACAAAAACGAGCTAATTGCTCTTAACCCTTCCACTATGCAAGTCATGCAGGGATGATTTATAGTACCACATAAAACTGAAAAATCCCACACAGAGCACACCACAGAATACATAGAAGTATCTCAAGGTAAAGTGAAAAAATGACTCAAGGGGCTAGGAAGAAATAAAGCAGTTGAATCAGATGGAGTTTCACCTTGGGTGCTGCAAGAATGTGCAATTGAGCTGAGCATTCCACTCCAATAAATAATTTCATACATCCTCGTGCACAGAAATCTTAACAGATATATGGTAAAAGGCAAACATAGTTCCAATCTCTAAAAATGGTAGCCGAAAAGACCCTCTAAATTATAGACCTGTATCATTAACAAGCGTTGTAGTCAAAACACTAGAAAAAAAAAGTGTTGAATGTAATGAAACACCAGTTTCTAAGTGAGACCCAGAGGCTTCTTGGAGCTAACTGGGCTGAGATGAATGTATTAGACCCTGGCATCAGTCAATGTGCATAGAGTTGTAGGCCTACCGGGGACCATGAGCTAGAACCTGGCCCCCCTCAGAAAGGCAGGAGGAGCAATGGCCTATAGAAACCCCCGTGTGGTTGGAAGCATTCTATGTCTGCCATTGACCGGGTCTGGCACCAAGAAAGGTAAGCGCCACAAAACAACCCTATTCTGGTTAAAATATTGCTACTGAAAGCTGAACTAGTGGACAGAACTCCCTAAATGAAAACGAGAAAATGAGCATGATGTCATCACGTCACCATGCCACTGTCTGCACAGCCCTCCCCCCTTCCTTGGGAGGAAAAAGGGGGAGCCCCAGACCCCTGCAACGGCTATCCACCCTGCAATTCTGAGGCTGGATGTCAAAAACCGCTGATCAGAGGGAGGGATGCCGAGGAGCCTCCGGTTCTCACTCAGAAAATGGCGTTTCATTACATTCATCGCTGATTTTCTGGGGGAAGCCCCAGAACTTATGAATGTCGTGGGGCACAAGGATAGACTGCAGGCTGGCTGGACCGAATAACCCTGCAAACGACTTGGGAGACCAGGACCCTGAAACAGGGAAGAAGGGAAACCGGATCAACCCAAAAACACTTCCCCGGCCACCGAGGCCATGGCATACAGGTAATGGTGAAGAGCCACAACCAAACAACACATGATGCACATCTGGCCGAAACACCAAGCATTAACAACCCAAGGACCCTCCAGAAAGCAGCAGTCTTATTCTTCACCAGAAAAGGAGATGGAAGGATTCATTATAGAGGCATAAAAGAAAGAAGGATTCTTTATATTGGCATAAAAGAAAGAATGATTCATTATAGAGGCATAAAAGAAAGAAGGATTCATTATAGAGGCATAATCCGAGTCGCGCAGGAGGTAAGCCGCAATGGCCGCACACACCTCAGGTGGAGAGATGCGGGAAGCCGAAAACCTCCGGAAGGACGGAACCGACGGAACCGACGGACCCGCAGGGAAACGGAACCGAACACAAATCCAAGTCGTACGCAGAGGGGGGAAAAAGAAAAACCCCACTCCTTGTAACAGCAAGCCCCACTCAGAGGGTCGGAAAACTCAGGCGGGGGGTCCAACGGGGCCCAAGGCCCCCAAGTCAGCTCTTCCCCAACCCCGGGAACCTCCACGTCAGGCCCCGGGGCCGAGTTGTCCTCCAAAGCCCCGGCCTCACAAGAAAAAGCCAGGGCAGCCGGAAAAGCAGGTAGAGGATGGGCCCACTGGTCAGACCCCGGAGCTACGGCAGGAGGAACCAACTCGAATGCCTCCGCAGCCACTCCAGAAGGGGCAACCCCCGAAACCGCCCGAGTCTCAGAAACCTCTAAACCCTGCCCCGACCCCAAAGCCCTCAGATGCTTAGGAGCCGGAAGCAGGGGGGGGAAGGGGAACCGAATGAACCACAGCAGGGGAAGAACGAGGTGTGGATGAAACCAAGGCCGAAGCAAGCAACACCCCCAAGTCCGGGTCCCTAGAAACAAAACGAGGGAGCCTCAGGGCATCCAGGGAAGCAACCAACCTAGTGCACTGCAGCAACCTAAACCTATCCTACAACGTGCGAGCTGCCTACACCCAAATAATATCATCAGATTGGATGAAATGAGTCACATACAAGCAACAAAGCTTGCAGGACTCTGGGTTGAATGTGTCACTGACCCAACAGGCCGTATGACGGAGGCAAAAACAATGAGCATCGCCCTGAGACAAGGGGACAGAGCAACCCTCAAACTCGCAAAAAGCAAGAGGGGGACTCAGGGCTCACATCCATTGGACACGAGTGCCCCACGGGGTTTTCCAGGGCAATAGAGACTCGCCCAGAAATTGGCATTTCATTACATTCAATGTTGGTTTTCTGGGGGATGGGGGTGAAGCCTCTCATGGCTCTCTGAAGCTAACTACCCACAGAGAAGAAAACAAATGGACACTTACCAGGGAGGAGGGAACAGGTATTATGACAAAGACGAGAGAGCCATAAAAAATGACACAAAAGTCACACAAGGGTGCCAGGGACCAGACACATTGACAAAATACTGGGTTGCCAGAATCCTGCTCCACCTTCAAAACCCCTGCACCCAAATATCATCCCCAGGACATATTCGCAATGACAGCAGATAGAGCGGCATATTTTCAAATATCATACACACAAGGGTAGACTGTAGGCTGGCTAGACTTAATGACACCGTAGACAACCTGAGAGCGAGGCAAGCCTTGGAACAAGGGACCCAGGCAATAGTATCAACCTACAAGGAATCCACCGAGACAAAACCAGTGGCATGAAGGTAGCAGCGAAGAGCCACTACTGGACACAACAGATGATGCACCCCCGGGCAAACCAACCAAGCATCAAGGACCAAGGGACCCTTTTGGAAGCCAACCAACTTATTTTTCACCAGAAATGGAGCTGGCTGCAATCTGCCAGTAGGGCTTAGAGAAAAAAAGCTCTGGAGCCAGCAGAAAGCATGAAGCTCACCCACCTGATAATTGGAGGCGAGAGAAACCAGGAACAAAGCTTTCAAGAAGCAATCCCAGACCAAAGGGGACACCACAAACTGAGCGGACAAAAGAAAAGAGAGAACATTGTTTAGAGACCAAGTAGACTCAGGTGGTGAATGAGCAAGCCGGAGGTGAAATAATGAACGAGAGAGGTTTCAAAATGGAGCCGAGGCCAATTTCGCATGATACTAAGTGACAGTATTCAGCATGAGGTGCCAATCAAGACAAAAACCTGTCAATCAAGACAGAAATGAGAAGATCATCAGCTCAGATACCGAAGAATAGCGATGAAGAGAAAAGAAGTGATGAAACGAATACCACAACACCTCATGCAGCTGCCTCGACGAGGATCGCAGGTGGGGCGCTATCCATGCAGCCACTTCATTACCATAGAGATGGCAACAAGCACGCATCAAAAAGTCCAGACGTGTAGAGTGGAGGTGGTCAAACCAGTTAAGTATTTCACTGAACCAACCCCTTTGATAAGAGGCGAAACTGCGGAAAAACACCCAGGTTTGGACATAGCAAGCAACACTTCAAACCAAGGCTGAGCTGGTCACCAAGAAGCCAGAAGGATAACCACTCCTCTGAAGGAGTCTAATTGTGCCAGGACCTAGGGAAAAAGAGGTGCAGGAACCTTCACCTCAATCAGTTCAATCGAAAGGTATCTGCTGCAAGGACCTCGTAATCGGGAATCATACCAGGTACAGAAGAAGGCACAGAGACCACACAGACGTAAAGACGTCGACATCTGGGCATCCAAATGTCAAGTAAAGCCATAGGCAATGCAGCAACCGGTGAAGGGCCGAGTCTGCACCCAATGATCATGGCAGTAGTGAAAGGGGCTTCCCCCAGTGAAACCAAAACAGCCTCTGAAGCCAAACCCTGCCCAGGAAATATGGGCAGGGATGGAAAAGTTAAGGATCCTACATAACTACTCGAGCAACTGCCAAATCACCCAGTGCCGACATCAAACAGCGTTGATGCAGCCAGGTCAAGGCTGAAAGAGGCAGGGAAAGCGATGCCAAGTCCCAAACAAGGTCCAGCAAAGTCCAAACCTGGGATGAAACCAATGAAACTCCTGTCAGTTCACCAGGAACTCAAACCCAGCGAGCTGCAGTTCACTGACTAGCAGATATGCGGACAGGCTGGGAGCTTACACCAGCCAGTCGCTGAGGTAGGCTAAAACTGAAACACGAAGCAAATGAAGACGGGGCCGTCGTGATCTCAGCCAAGCTTGGAAACGCATGGAGCCAGATTGAGCCCAAACAGGAGGACCCAAAAGTGGTAAGGCTGTCACTCCACAACAAAGCCTAACCCAGGGATGAATAGGGACGACATGCCAATATGCATCCCAGGCATCCAGGTAATTCATCCAAGTGCCTACCTCAAGTACAAGATGGACCTGGTAGAAAGTGGTCATCTGGAAGGAGAAGCAAGGAAAGAACCAGTTGGAGGTCTGGCAAGTCCTGTTTCACCAAGCTCACCCACCCGTGGATGACCCAACCAGAGCGCGGGTCATCCCGTGCTTCAGTCAGGTTCAGTAACTCCAACAGTGGTTTACTCTGCAAATCATATTAAACTTGATCCTCTGTAGGACCAAGTGAGGAATAAGTCTCATTTTGGGGCAGAGCCTAAATCATGAGGGCTATAACAGCATTCTTGACAACAGATTCTTGGCAATGACTAATAAATAAGAGCCTGTTGCTACGAGGAGCCACTGAGGGGTTTCACACAGATTGTTTTAATATACTGTATTCTAAAACTAATCTATGTTATATATTTCTCCTACAAGTGTCTATTCCATAACCAGTTCCCTTTTGTTCATCACCACACTCAACTGTTCTCTCACCCAGTTTAGTCCGATATTTACCTTCTTGCATCGCTTCTAAATTGGCCTCTGCTTCAGCCTTCTTCAGCTCTTCCATCTTCTTTATGTAAGAAGCCGTGACAAATGACTCCTTGTCTGCAAATTCATCACCTTCTGCCTCCCGCTCTTGTTGAACTTTGCGCTCAGTACGTCGTTCATCTTCTAGTTTTCGCTTTTCAGCATGTTTGATGATATTGTGAATGTATTTGGGCTGGAAGTAAGAAACAAACATTATAGCAGAAAAAGTTACCTCTGAAAATATTTATTTTCCCTCATGCTTAAAACTTACAAAACAAGGGGTCCACTTATCCCCCGGGTTGCGCCACTGATTATACCATACAACACTCGGGTGCACATAAAATATAAAAATTCTGAAAACTTTTTTCCTTTTAATATTGTTAAAATGCATTCCCTGATCACAAAAAAATAATAAAAAAATTGCATGTGACTTACTTTGGTCATGGTAAAGCCTGAAAGTCTCGCGATGACATCAAGCTTCATGTGCGCTCACAGAGTACTTGCTTCGGGGTGGTTCTCCCGAGCCAGCCATCACGCAGGAGTTGCCATGAATATATATATTTTTTTTTTTTACATATTACATGACAAAAACCAAAGAACAGACCTAACCAAGACCGAAGACAAACAGCAGAAAGACAAAAGTGTGGAAAGAAGCACCAGGCTACCTCATACTGCCACCTCGAAGACACACACAAGACACTAATAAACCAGCCACCTGCTCACCATATAAATGGCAATACCAGTACATACCCATAAAATACTCCAAACAAGCAGAGGAGAAGTTCAAACCAGCAAAATACACTGCTTAGCCAATCTGCTGGAAGAGACAGACAGAAAAAAAAGTTTGAGTTCAGACATGAGGCCAAAAGGACTGGCTGGACTGGCCACTAAGGAGCCACAAGGGCAACCCACTCCAAATACCACTCAAGACTTAACAACGCATGGAGAAATAAAACAGGATAGGGGTAAATGCACCTCCATCATGACCAGTCCAGTTGAAAGGGATCCAATGCAACAGCTTTGTGATTGGGGAATGGAGCCACATAGAAGGGAAGAGGCTGGTTCCATGGTGATGCAAAGAGGTTTGAGCATCAAACAGAGCCAACTGAATGACTCACTGTGAACAGTCCACTCCATAAAGACAGGCCAAGCGAGACAACCCATCCATGAGGACATTGGACGCACCCTGCATTTGAACTGAGTGGAGAACCCAACCCAAAGAAGTTAAAATTCGAGCCACTAGAAGCATCCAGCTCTACAGAGGGACAGACTGAAGAGAGACCCCCCCCTTCAGTTCAGGTGATGAACTACTGGAGACCAATTAAAGCAAAGCCGGATCACCAAGCCCTGAGAAAACCAAATCCTCCTTAGGGCATGCTACACACCTGAAAACTTATGCACCATGCTGTGTCCAAAGAAACTGACTGACCATTGACCTTGCAACCCGCTCTCGCACAAGACAACACATATATGACTTATTGCTTATAGTCACTATTTCGCTTATAAATAAGTATATATGTGACATATTCCAAGCCATAATTTTTTTCAAGGCACTAACTTTTCCTCTCAGTTTTATTAAACAATAGAGATTTTATACAAAATTTGACAATATCCTGAGTTACTTTCCAATTTATTTAAATACAGTGGTACCTCGCATAACGAATTTAATCCGTTCCATGTTCGTCATGTGAAACGGACGTCATACAAAACGAATGTCCCCCATGTAACCAGTGTGATGCACTGTGTTTATTGTGAAATTCCCCCAGTGTGCATGACATCAAATGTTCCTCAAAATATCATTTTTCTTTGCAAAATGATAAATTACCGTCCCTGAACATGTCTATGTAAAAATAATTACCAAATTCCACCTACTTTGGCTGTGAGGGCGTGGACAAGGTGCGCTGTGACGTCATCAGGGGCTGGTCGCCCGTGTGTGAAGCTCCCAGACACGGTCGCGCAGGCCATTCAAGCACTGCGAGTTGCCACAAATATATTTTCAAATATTTTTTCTATGCATTTCCAATGCGGTTTTATTTGTTTCTTTTATCGTATATGATGCATATTTGTGTCCTTTACAATATGTATACAGTAGAATGTTCATAATTTTCCATGAAACTGTGATACATGTGTCATTAATGTGTCCACAATAAATGTTTATTGTCACAATATTATGTGGTAAAAATTCACTAAAATTACAATATGTACAGTTTCACATACTATTTACACAGTAACACACTGTATAACACACTCAGTACTTTGGAGGTGCGTAATAGTCAACGAAGTAGTCCATGGTACACAGCACGACTTTGCTCTCCTTGCACCAGCTACAGATAGATTTTCGTTTCCTGTTTCATCGTTCTGTGTGCTTGCAAATAACGCACTCGCGTGCACCCTTGGCTTTAGTACTTGTAGGTGGTATGTAGCCAAGCTTGTAAAGCATAAGGTAGTATTGAAACGATAATAGGAAAAGCTCAATTTGTAAGGTAGTCTTGAAAAGATCGCTTTGTAAGGTCCCACACAGGAAGAGATTCAGCTAGCCTCAAAGAGTGTCCATCAGTCAGGAAGAGATTCAGCTAGCCTCAAAGAGTGTCCATCAGTCAGGAAGAGATTCAGGTATTCTTGAAAATATCAATGAACAACATCACCATGGAAGCCGCTAACACTGTTCATCTATGCTATTTGTATCAGATGCATCATCACTGAACACAGAAAACGGTTCATCTATGTATCATCTATATAAATTCGAGATGGCAAGGGTGGGGCTCAGAGCTACAACTGGATACGCTCGCTGTATCATCCTCATAGGTGCTGTATGACTGGCATCCGAACGTTGTGTTAAGCCCTTATTGCGCCTAGCTTCACCAATGTTATGACCCTTATGTTCTTCAAACAATAGGGCCTGAATTGCACCGACTGAGCGCAGTCTTTTAACACCGTGTGGGACAGGTGTTTGAGAGCCAGAGGCACGTGTGCCACGAATGGTTGCTCACGCAGTACTAACCCAGCCAGCAGCCCTAGTCTTTCATATTCGTTATAGCAAAAGGTTCATTCAGTGTTTTTTGGGTAGGCTGCTCCATTATGACAATCTTTCTTTGTTTCAAATGTGTTCCATTTGTTTTGAATTTGTCACTTACGTCTCAATAATGGAGCAGCCTACCCGACAAACACTAAACGAACCTTTATGGCATTTGTCTATTTTTCAAATTGTTTCAACAGTTCTTTTATTTTTTGTTTTTTTTTTATTTAAGAAACATGGAGCAGCCGACCTGTAGACCACCGAACGAACCTTTTTGACATTTGTACTGGTTTTCAAAATTCTTCATTTTTTTTATTATTTACGTTTTTTGTATGTAAGAAACATGGAGCAGCCTACCTGCCGACCACCGAACGAACCTGTTGCTATAAGACAAATGAAAAATAAATATTGAACACATTTGAAGAAAGGAAAATGTCATAATGGTTTATTCAGTGTATGTAAAGTAGGCTTCTCCATTATTGAGACGTAAATGACAAATACAAAACAAATGGAACACATTTGAAACAAAGAAAGATTGTTATAATGGAGCAGCCTACCTGCCGAACACCGAACGAACCTCTTTGACATTTGTTGTATATCAGACATTTCATTTCTTTTTTCCTACAAAAACGTCAATGCTTTGCAACATCTCAGCAGTCACCCTTTTATATCCCAGCATCATTAGCATCTTTAAACAAGAACAACATAATTTATGTGCATAGTCGGAGGCGTCTTAGAATGTGCAAGAAGCAGCGCGACCCCACCATGTGGTTTTGACGTTACTCAAACCAGCGTTCGTCATACGGGACGATTTGACGCTGATCGGGCCGTTCGTTACCCAAAATGTTCGTCTTTTGGGGCGATCGTTATGCGAGGTACCACTGTATTTTAGTTTTGTTTTATTATTTTTATAAAATTGTAATATCAATATAGGTATAGATTCAGTACTAATTGTAGTATCATAACATACTAAGAAGGTTAGGTTGTGGTTTTCTATTCAGTATTTCAAGGCAAACTCAAATATTCACAATAAATTAGTATGTCACATATGCACTTATTCATAAGCAAGATATTGACTATAAGCAAGTGTGAGAATGGGTTGTGACCTTGGGTGGCCTGGTGAACACTGGTTATGTAGTCCCATCCCAGAGATGAGGCATCTGTAAACATATAAAGTGACAGGGTAGGATGGTGCCACAGAACTGAACCTCGAATTGGTGACGTCAGTGATGCAAGAGCTGATAAAGAGCCGGTGGGGCACAGACCCGCCAGTCCCGGGAGCAGCAAAAAAGGTGGAACCAGAGAGACAGCACAATGCCTAGAGCGAAACCCTGCTCAGATAAAGACAATACAGGCAAGGTTCGAACTCCCACACAACTGCTCGACCAACCAACGAGTCACATCTGGGGTCAATCCAACACCCGACAGTAATGAAGCTGCAGGAGGAGCAAAGTCACCAGAGGTAGGATAAGTGAATAACAAAGCGTTTCAAACGAGACCTAGCCAAAGGTCAAACTTGGAACGATACCAACTGGGACTTCCGCCCATTCACCAGGAACTCGAATCTGGCGAGCTGGAAAAAAAATCCCTGGCCAGCTGACATTTGGACTGACTGTTGTCAAGGTCAGTCAACACACAAATCTCTAACAAATACAACCTGGCCACAACAACCATTCATGGTAAACAAACAGTAGGCCAGATTCAGACTGAAGTGAAGAACCTGAAGTGGTAAGCTTGATGCCCCACAACAAAACTTAACCAGTCCCTGAACCCCAGATGAATAGGTATGTTATGAGCCCACATACACCAAGTATGACTGGTGTGTGATATGATCATACCTTAGTATAATATATGGCAATGTAGCCTAGCATAATGAATCTTGAATATATGATTGTGTATATATTATTGAAGTCTATGTATTACTGTATATAACATGCTTTATGTATTACTATGTATTGTGTATTCATTTATATGCCTGATGTACTATGCCAGTAATACATATGTACTATGATATATAGGTCATTCCACATGAATTCACCAAAGGCCTCCCACTCTTACAGGAAAGAGATGGTTGGGTTGACTGCATCTATCTGGACCTAAAAAAAGCTTTTGACAGAGTTCCACATAAGAGGTTGTTTTGGAAACTGGAAAATATTGGAGGAGTGACAGGTACGCTT